ATATGCCAGGATAACCTTAAAATCTAGGGTTTATAGATGAACTGTTAGCATTAGATATATTATCTGGTCGTAGATATCTTTTGATACGACGAAAATCGGTTTCTATGATTACCTAGTTCTAATAATTGAAAATGACATCCCGCCCGAGATTTACACCAGTGCCCTGTGATGTTTGGTTTCCTGCTGGGCTCCTTGTCGGTGGTCTGTGTTGTTGAGTTTTGTTGTTGGGATGCGTTCATTGAATGCCGCCCTTCCTTGATGATCTTGTTTTAATTATATTTCGTGCTGGTTGGAGGCCGTATAAAGTCGCCCGTACATATAATCAAGGGTGTTATGGTTTCGATCCCTGAATATTGTTTAGCACGACATTATTGTTGTGTGTACATGTCATGTGGTATTTTAGTTACTTCTACATGAACTTGACCTTTTTCAACGTGGGTAGTTCCAACATTCCTACTTTAATAATGTATAACCACCCTTAGCTAATGTTGCTTGTTTTATTTATTTATCTTTTGTCGTCTCGCCTGTGATATGCAAGCTTCATGCTTTTAGATCCCCTTTCAAAATTCCATTTTTTAGTTCCGCCCATTGTTTCCTGATTAAGAACACACGCATTTATTAATTGAATAATTAATCATGGTATGGAATGACGCTAACGTATCACATTGAAAGTTACATGATAATCGCAGATTACCGTACATGAACACATCTGCGTATATTTCTTAATTTAAAGATGTCAGATTATTTAAAGATTAATCAACAACTTAAGTAAAATAAGTTATGCATACATGTATTTGTCATGTCATTTGTATCGTCTTATGACAGATGGTAAAAATGATAATTTTCCATTTTTAAAATAGAATAAGTCTATGCTATGGACTGTGTTCTAAGCTTCCTGTTAGATTTGTTCGAGCTACTTTCTCTATTTTGGTACAATTGTCAAATAAGACATCACCATATTCAATAATAGGTTTGATGAAGGACAAGTAGATGATATCTTGAGACTTCGCTCACTAGTTATGTTTACAGTTATGTTATGCAGTTTTTCTTCCATAGTTATTGGTCAAAATACGTAGTATAAAAATTGTGGGAACTAGGAAGAACGTTATGTCAACCAATTTTACCAATATTTGAATATATTAATAAAACAAATTCTCCAGCGTACATATCAGCATCTTAAATAGTCCAAATCAAAGGCACGACTTATCTTTAAAACACAGGTAAACTATATAATTTTACATTTTTATCCGAGCAAATAAAAACCAGTACTTATAAGAATAAAACCTGAGTGAAGACCGAAATGACGATGGTATTAACTCAACAATGACCTTGACCTTAAAGGTCAAATTAATGAATTTTACATCATTGCTTGATTTTTGCTCGTTTTGGCTATAATGTTGTTATCTATGAACGGATTGTCTTCATACTTGAGCATAACTACCTTAAGGACAATGTCTTTAAAACAAAAAGATCAAACTCAAATTTATCTTGACCTTAAAATACCTTGTCATTGATGGTCAAATTATTGCAATAAAGTAAGCAATAACAACTTCGTTTCTTAAAGAATCATGACCTGTGTGCATATGTGACCAAATCCTGGGGCCTACATAATTTTTGGTCATGCTTTGGTGACAAATCTCAAATATTAATGATAATTTTAATTGGGTTTTGTTGTTGTTGTTACTTCATTCTAATGTTAAGATAACCGCTTTACAATAAACTAAGCAAGGACATATTAAATTGATAAACACAGATAACATTTTCCTAATCAATTTATTACACAATTATATATAAATACATCATATATAGATATAAAAACACGACAATGAATGGTTATAGGATGACCTTAAAACCGCCTTTCACGATAAAATTGAATATGTAGCAGTCTCGTTTTGATTTAGACCACGTTCATGAAGGTCAGTGGTAAGTGTAACCTCTAGCACCGAATTAAGTAGAACTTAAACATAATACATGAAAAAAAAGAAACATAGGCTAATGCATTCATACAGCGAAGATTATAAACCATTCATGCAGCAAGTTTCATGACCAGTGGCAGACCCGAGCTGCCAGCTAGGTACAACAGGTTTTACCATTCGACTGGTGTAAACCAAGTTCAGCCTGGACGTCTTCATTGTTCGCCCATCAAATCAATTCAAGTCAAATAGTTAACTGGTATAAATATAAAACATATTCATCGCAAAGTATTATGATTTGCGGTTTATATTTAACATAAATATTGTATATACATACACATTCATTAATTTTGTAAATAAACACATGTAAAAAAACATACATAAATAAAAATACAGAAATTATGATGATAAATGACATAGTTACATAATTACAAGGAATAAGTTCAAATAACAGAAATAAATGTTTAAATTATTAAAATCAATCAGTACATTTTTTGTAATTTCCTTTAAAATGATACATATGTCTGTCAAGAATGAAAGATAGAAAAGCCCATTTGAAGACCCATATACACATATCATTTGGCATATGCTTAAACTATCTTTTGCTGATTTTATTAAGTTGGCATTTGGTATTTGGTATAATCACAGTAAATTGGTATTTTGTATGGAAGTCAAAATACTACTTTGTTTATATTTTGTTTCCTTTACGACACAGTTTTGCATGTTCAGCGCTACTTCGTCAATTGATTTAACATCTAAAATGCTCTTAAGCCATTATTAAAACATTATAAAACACATGTAGGACATTTCTAAAAAATAAAGAAATATGGATTTGGGATTAATTTACTTACAGTATGATAGATGACTTTAATGATGTCAACTGTACATACAAGTTACAAAAAAAATACAAATAAAATGTTCAGCAAATGCAAAAATGTTGAAAATAAGACCGCTATGTCCAACCAATCATCGGCAAGTATCATTTACATTGGCACAAATCTATGAGGGTACAATCATCCTTTGCTTTTGGCAGCAACATTTATTTTGTTCACCGTAAAAGTTATGTAAAACTCGCGTTTTTAATTTTTTCATGAAACTAAGATTGATCATTAGATCGATAATTTCACCGAAGAAACTGCTTTTTGAATTGTAAAAATTTACATGCTTGTATTGTCTATGTATTGCAGGCTTTATTATGTCCTGACTTCTAAAATTTCTTTTTCAGCACACGTAAACATGTATGTGAATCCACACAAACATTTTATATCACATCTATAAAGCATTCAACGGTTGATTTTTGTATCATATCTATGAATTTTCTTGTTTCCATTTATATGTTTATTACAGGTCTGATTAATTAGGTAATGAAAAGCTATATATTCCCAGAATTAAAGCTGCCTTTAATTCTTAAGAAATATGTACAGGTACATCGCTCTCTTTTCTGATCTCCTATTTGTAACACACGAAAATGATAAACTGTAATCTTCAGCAATATTGTATTAAGCTCTCGACTAGATATGAAGAGTTTGAGATCGTATTTTAAACGAGTGTTGTTGCATTTCGAAGTTACTAACCAGAACATTTTTCTTTCAAGCAGTAATGGCCACAGGACAACTTCTCTATATTTCACTACCGTGCTCTGTATAGCCGTGCTCTGTATAGCTATAATATCTCTATTGCCTCCATTTTATTTATTCATCTTATGATAATTAGCTTACTAATCACTTTATTTTATTTTTGTATTACGTTGATGGGCCTCGATCTCTTCATATTTGAATTCAGTCACATTTATAATTACGCATGTCCACAAGAAATGAGAATCTTTTTGTTTTCTTCCCCGAGTCCTCATTTTCTATAATAGTGTGCCAGCCATATAATTACAGTTATATTTTGATGTTATAAAACACTGCAAAGCGTAAGTTACATTGATTAATGTATGTTTTTGTCTGGATCTTATAACGAGAGCTATTGTTTTTCTTCTCTGTGTCCTTATTCTATATATTTTTTGCCAACCATATAATACAAGGCTCCTTCTCTTCCAACGCCATATCCTCCCTAGTGCGTAACTAATGTATATCCATGACAAAAACTTTTACAAATATATCTTAAGAAAATATGTTTATTGAATATATCAACTCTTAATAATTCAACATGTCAATGTTTTGTGACAGTTTGCTTGTATTACTACAAATAAGTGTTTATCATATTATGGCCCTGTATAAAAATTAATCATATAGGGACTTTACAAGGTCGTCCAAAAGGGGGGAAAATAAAAACCAGAGGGTCCATGGAAAGGACCCTGGGTCAAAAAACCCAACATTGCTAGAAAAGAAACAATTAAAAAATATTTAATATTATTAATAAGGGGAAATTGGGTTTTTCATTTTTTATCCCAAAATGCAATAAATTTTTTTCAAAAAATTCCAAAATGCTAACAAGGCTCTTTTTGGGATTTGTAATTTTTATTGTATTTTCCCTAAAAAGATGAATAAAAATTTAAAGTGGGTTTTTCTAAAGCCAAGTTTTAAAATTAAAATTTTGTGCCTTTCCCCGGGGGGGGTTTTTCCCCTTTTAACCCAAGGGGGAATTTGGGTAATTAAAAATGTTTAAATTCGTAAAGGGCCCAAAAAGGGGGGTGCTGCAAAAAAAATATTTTAAAATCTGGGGATTGTAATTTCAAATGGGTGGGGAAGGGGCCCCCGGATTTAAAATTTAAAAAATTTAAAGAAAATTTTACTTAAAAAATTGTAAACTAAAATTTCAAAAAAAAGTTAAAAAAATTAAATTAAAAAATCAAGGGAATAAATTTCATATTATTGGGAGTTAATTGACGATTTTGCAGTATTTAAACATCTTAATTTTTCCCCCAGGGTTTTTTATTCCGGGTTTGGGAAATGTTTAAATTACTTTCTTTTGTTGCTAAGAAAAACCCCTGGATGGGGGGGGATTCTTTTAAAGGAAAATTTCCCCCTTTTTGATTAAATTTAAAGCAAAAATTTTTTGCTTTTAGCTTTGGGGATCGTCAAAAAAGTTTTTTTTAAAAACCCCTCGAAGTCTTTTTGAAAGTCCCAAAAGATTAATCCCTTTTTAAAGCGATAGTTGGATTTTTGATTTTGAAAGCCCGGACATAAGAACTTCAGACACTTGTATTGCCGTTTTCTTATTCTTAATACATTCCCATTGTTTAATTTTTTCTATAAATGCTTCTTTGGTGTTCTTTCCTTCTAAAATAAACTTGTTTGTTAAATGTCCATCTTCAGTAAGAAACTTTTCTTCTGTTAATTTAGAGATGATTTCAGATGGTTTCTCTTTAATCTTTTTCTGGATCTCTTCTGCCATAGGAACTTTTAATAATCGAGGATTATCACTAAATTCAATAAATTCTGCATTCTCCCTGGTGTCTCGACACGCGAGGACAAATATGATATCCCGCCCCTCTTTGAAATATTCCTTGAATTTCTTCTTTGTCATATTTTCCAAAACACCTTTCACTTCATTTTCGTGTGTTGTTGGTTTAGCAGCAGCTTTGGTGAGCTCCTTCCAGTACTGATCGATAATACCAGTACTTCTTCCTAGAGTGATCTCTCTATAAATGTAATCAGCAGCATTTCTTATCTGAGAGCAAACCGCTCGAATAGATTCTCCACTGAATTTTGCTTTTACGTGAACAAGGTATGTAGCACTCTCGTTGAAAATCATTATGTCGCAAAGCTCGATACCATTCACCAGTTTTTTATCACATGTTATTATTTTGGTGCTAGATGAATCAGGTAAGATCATGTTCAGTAACGTATGGGCTGAATTGTAGCTGTCCTCTTCAAGTCTACACTCCAAAAGCTTGTACAGGCTCGCAGCTTTCTTGCATGAACTCATCTTTTGAAACTGTTCAAAGTCATAAACTGGAAGATCGGTTTTGTCTTCCATAAGCTTTAGGAGTTCTTGTAAAGTTTCACCTTTGCAGACTTTTTCATAATGACTTTTCCACTTTGGTACCATCGTTTCGGTCTTGAATTGTTGTAACTGGAACTTTTGTTCATCTTTCTTTCTATCTATTTTCTTCTCCCCTTTTTCGCTAAGATGTTTCCATGGAAGAAGCAAAGGTAGATCACTTTGGCAGTGATTCTTCAATATTTCAACAAAGTCCCTTTCAATGCAATAAAGGTATTCAGCTTTCATCTCAATCCACTCTCCATGATAATATATATACGTTCCGATGCCACCTGCACTAAAACGACTGACGATGCATTTTTTCAGGGGTGCCATTATATTTCTAAATTTTAGAATGACGTTATCTAACCATTCTGGTTTAAAATCCGGCGCACACTTTTTCTTTAACGTCCTCATGACATCATTGAGACTTGGAAAATCATTCCATTTCTTTATTGTTTGGTAGCGTGTCTTCTTATTTGGTACGGGTGTTGATTTCAACATGTTATTCAAACATTGAAGTCTGAACTCATCTGCCTTTGCCCAGGCTTTATTTTCACTAATTAGATATAGTTTAGAATCTGCACCATTCATACTGCCTTGCATAGTTTTGTACAGTTCTTTATCTAAATCTCGACGAAGCTCTTCATCAGTGACGCTTGAAACGTAATCATACATTTGAAACCTTGGATCATCTTCTTCTTCATTATTTCCCTTACCTACTAGGTATGTCTTTTTGTTTAACCATATTTTTGAAAAATGGTTCAACAAAAGTCCAAGTTGAGACAGTTTTAGCTTACGTTGAATCTTCAACTTCTTTTTACCAAGCTGAAATTTAGATTTCATATGTTTTTCTGTTTGAGTCACGAATGCATCTATTTCAGATGAGTATAAAGATGAGTCCTTGCGAATTTGTCTGGTTCGATTCTTTACTAATATTCCAAGAAAATCCCATGTTGTAAATGTAATTTCATGGCCTGGTCTTGCCAACTTCGATTCCCGGCATGTACGTCCATCAACAGGGTTATACTTAACCTCATGAAACGGAAATTGTAGAACCCGTCTCTCAATAGTTTTGACAAAATTCATCTCTGCAAAATCTTCTACAATCAGCCTTGCAGAACCGGTTGTTAATGCGTATATCTCAGGTGTATAACGATTTTCTTTCTTTATATTTCTGTAGAATAAAAGCATGTATGATTTAGTTACCTCCTTCTCTCGACAAAGTCGTTCTTTACATTCCTCTGTAACCATCTCTGAAAATACTTTTGAAAATTTAGTACTTGCCTTGTTTTCAACTAAATAAAAATTGACTTTGAAATCGGACCCTTTCTCCTTTAGAATACGCATTAATTGTGGTTTAAACAGAAGCCTTTTAACCTTTTGTTTGTACTCTTGTGAAGCGTTGAAAGTTTTATGCAATTCAGTTGAGCATGGGCCAGTTGGAGGGGAACTTTCAGCACCTATTGTTCCAGGACCTTGCTCAGAACTGATTGAGGGGGTCTGGAAGTTTGTATCGCTCATTGATATTTTGTGTCGCGTATCTATTTCACTGTCAAATTTAGCATTCTTTGTATTTGGAGCATTTAATTTGTTTGAAGACTTCCGTTTTCTCCCATTTATGACCTTATTAATAATATGTCTAGCATCTTTTAAATCATCTTGATATTTATTTTGTTTGCATTCCATAACAAGGCTGGTATTGATTTTGGTGATGCTAATGTAATCTAAAGTTTTGTCAAGATAAGAATTGTCGAGTTGCTCATCATATGACTCATGTTGTTCGTCATCAGTCCCAAACTCGTAACTGCCTGTCCCGCCACTTATTTGCGTATCATACGACATTTTTGTTTGCCTTTGACTGGTGTCAGCAATACTTGAGTAATGTTTGTGATGATTATACGCAAGAAAATGTTCGCATCTCTTAGAGCTGTAAATAGAAAAAAAATATGAAAACAAATTTAGCAAGACAGCTGATGGTATGAAACTTTCTAAACAAATCTCAAGAGAGCATTACATACTCAATATCTAAACTCTTTGCCACAAACCGTAAAAGAATAAGAAATTCATGTGGCCGTAAATTGCCCTTTAGATCGATTTTTAGAAAATGTCACAATTCTTCCATGCAGAAGAAAGTAAATAAATCAAGTTGGGTGTTTCATTTCTGCCCAAAGTTGCATAATCTATAAACTTTTGTTGAAGTCTGCTTGAAATATGATAAGCAAGATCAACAAGGAATGAACGCCTTGTCCGCCTGTCCCGATGTTACATTGTCTTGCTAGCACGCCGTCCTGTTGCCACGTGGTCCGTCCGTAGACTGACAAAACAATGAAATCTGGGGTCATCACTGAACAATTGACACATTTCTTATTTAGCACTTATCTATTTTAGCACTTTCATCGCTGACAAACCAAAACAATTTACATAAATTTTGTAGAAGGTCATCAAAGATTCTTTGTTTGGTAAAGCTAGGACGAAATGCAGTTAAAATAAAGTTTGGATATCATTGAACGACGGACACATTGAGGTGAGTTAAAAAGAATATTAAAATATGTTTTCTGCTATAAAGATTTGGACAAAAGGTGATACTTTGGAAACATTAAGTCTATCATCCACCCATATTTTTAATTATCTAAAGATTTCTTTAGAGCTGCACATTTGACAGTGGAAATATGGGATATCCATGAAAATAATGACAATGATTATGTCAGAAATATAGGTATGTAAACACATTTGATAAAACATGATACACATAACAAACACAACCTTTACATTTGCAGTGACCTAAGTGTTATTGTTGAGATTTTTTGTCATAAAATAGCACCTCTATCTTATTTTGTAAAAAAATATCACAGTATTTTATCCAGGAACAAGTAATAGATATACCATTGCTGCGTTGACGACTTCTGGGTTTGCGTAAGTTATACCATAATCACGTGACCTTTCTTATGCCTTAACCTCACGAGACGAAGTCGAATGAGGTTGCATAAGAAAGGTCACGTGATTATGGTATAATTTACGCAAACCCAGAAATCGTCAACGCACCAATGGTGTATCTGTTTTAACCTATAGCTCCGCCCAGAAACACTTACTCCTTCGATCTTCAAAACTGAAAATTATACCATAGTCTGGGTATGGTATAATTTACGGTTATTGGAAATTATACTTGGAAGAATTTTACATAAGAAGCGCTGAAGAGCTATAGGTTAAGTATAAATATATTCAACTGACAGTGTCGAAAAAAGTAACTATGACAAAGAACTAAGCCAAATGACATGACATACTAAAAACAATTCATTTAATAATTATAGGAAGAATAAACAAACAGGACACAAAAGGGCCTTCAATCTCTAACTGATAGGCACTGATTATACAAGATATGTAAGTCTCAGGTGGGTCTAGAAGTATTTCACTGTTCGAAGAAGTAGGTCGGCTGATAACAAAGTTCAAATCCGAATCTGAAACTGTCGCTATGGTTCAAATTCTTTGCTGTTGTTATAAACACATAACTGCAAATCGGCTCTTACTCGGCAGTAATTAGTGTACCCGCTTTTTCATGAAGAAACCAGTTTCAAATATTGAGCCATCTATCCTCATTTACAATAAATGAATTATCAAACGTGAAAAATTACATGTACCTTAAAATTGCGAGGTCGACATGTTTTGTGCCACGGAAATTTCCAAAAATTTCCAAAATTACTACGAGTAAACATACATTTCGCTGCTTGCCATTAGTAAGAAAGTTTTTCAAACAGGTTGAAACATCGAATTATTATATAACGATAGTCACATATTTAATGTCACATGTACGCGCATTTTAACTAAATTTCAATATACTTTTTTTTCTTTGAAATATCCGCCATTACGCTGTCAAATGAAATGGTAAGTTTTCATTGGTTAATTCAATGCGCGTGACCTTATGGTATCAGTCATGTACACAAAGAAGAATTCGATAAAATTGAGTTAAAATTGCATAATTTAGATACATAAATTGTTCAAAAATACCATATTTCACCTTGAATTAAAGGTTTTAACCTGTTTTGAATACTTAAATATGGTGTTATCTGTTAAATAAACACTACACACTTCGTTAAGCCTTCTCTAGCATGATCATAAAACATCTGTTATCTTAACGATTTGACAATATTTACATAAACATAGTTAATATATATTTACAATTTTGGTAGATGTCAGCGTCTTCTCCATGTTTCATGCGAAAAACATGGTTTTAGAGAAAAAGAATTTTTAAAGTTTAACTATATACATTTAAGGAAACTCTTTTTGTTTCCCGGGACGGCGCAAATTTTGACCCCAGGGCTATAATTTGAACAATTTTGTAGGGTTTTATTAAATGTTACCATACACAAAATATCTAAGCTCTTGGTCTTACACTTTCAGAGATTTTTTTTATAGATTTCTAGCCTTTCTCACCCAAATTGTTTTATAAAGCGGAATAATTTGAACAATTTTAGTAAAGCTTCATTCTAGGAACATTCCAGGAAAAATTCATCCAATCAGACCAGGTGGTTTCTGAGGAGAAGTAGTTTAAAACAAGGGGGCCATGACCTGTATATAGGCCCCCGGACCGGGGCCAGTTTAAACCCCAGGGCTTTTATTTGAACAAACTTGGATGACACCCATTAGAAGATGTTTCATGCTAAACATCTAAGGTCTAGCTTGTCGGGTTTTTTAAAAGAAGTTTTTTTCAAGTTTTTTTCTTTACACATATACAAAATGTAGTTAAAAACAATGACACACCTGGGGCAGGGCCAGTTTTGACCCCAGGGCTTTTATTTGAACAATCTTTGTAGACACTTACTAGAAAATGTTTCATGCTTAATATCTGAACTCTAGCTATTCAGGTTTTTTCAAAGAAGATTTTTAAGTTTTGGCTATACACATATAAGGAAAATCAATGTCCCTGGGACGGGGCCAATTTTGACCCCAGGGGCTTTTATTTGAACAAACTTTGTAGACACTCACTAGAAGATGCTTCGTGCTTAATATCTAAACTCTAGCTATTTGAGTTTTTTCAAGAAGATTTTGTAAGTTTTTGTCAATACACATATAAGGAAATGAATGACCCCCGGGGCGGGCCAATTTGACCCCAGGGCTTTTATTTGAACAAACTTGGAAGACACTCACTAGAAGATGTTTCATGCTTAGTATCTAAACTCTAGCTATTTGTTTTTTGTTTTTTTTTCAAAAAAAAATCTTTTAAGTTTTTGTTATAAACATATAAGGAAAATGAATGACCCCGGCGGGGGCCCAATTTTGACCAGGGCTCTTTGAACGAATTAGGTAGACATCCATTAGAACATTGTTTCATGCTAAATATCTTAGCTCTAGCTCTTTGCATTCTTTAAAGAATTTTTTTTAAGTTTTTACTTTTCAATTTTGACCCAGGGCTTTTTAAACAAACTTGGTAATGCTCTAATCTTTGGATTCTTTAAAAGAAGATTTTTTAAGTTTTTTACTATATGCATATAGGGAAAATCAATGACCCCCGGGCGGGGCCAATTTTGACCCAGGGCTTTTATTTGAACAAATTTGGTAGACACTCCCTAGAAGATGTTTCATGCCAAAATATCTAAGCTCTAGCTCTTGGGTTTTTTAGAAGAAGATATTTAAAGTTTTTTTTTCTTTGGTTGCCATGGCAACCAGAAGTTCTGCATGGAATGGAATTCTTTGAACAACTTTGTTAAGGCTTCACACAAGAAACATCCCTGTTAAGTTTCATTATGATCTGCCTTATGGTTTCAGAGGAGATGTCGTTTTAAAAGTGTGAACGGACGACGGACATCGGACAACGGACGACGGACAACGGACGACGGACAACGGACGAAGAGTGATCCTAATAGCTCAGCCTGAGCATATGCTCAGGTGAGCTAAAAATCAATGACCCCCAGGGGCGGGGCCAATTTTGACCCCAGGGCCAGTATTTGAACAATCTTGGTAGCGGTCTACCCAACACAATGTTTCAAGCCAAATATCTAACCTGTAGCCTTTGCCAATTCAGAGAAGACTTTTTTTATGTTTTACTATATACATTAGTAAAAACCATGACCCCCCAGGGCGGGGCCAAGTTTGATACCTAACCTGGACAAATTATTATTGCCCCGATTTGAGAAGCCTGGACAAGCTATTTGAAGTGAAAAATTCCTCTCCTCCTGGATCGGTACCCTTGGGCAACCTATGGTTAGTAGGCACTTTTTTCCGACCAATATCCTGCACCGCAAAGCTGTCAATGTGAGATTTCGTGATCACAATTTGTCTGGCGTCCGTTGTCCGTAACTGCGTTTATGCGTCCGCCGTCAACTTTTTTTAGCTCACCTGAGCAATGCTCAGGGTGAGCTATTGTGATGGCCCTGTATCAGTCGTCGTGCGTCGTCAACTTTTGAACATTAACAACATCTCCTCTGAAACCAATGACTGCACATCAACCAAACTTTACAAAAATGATCCTTGGGTGGTCCCCTTTCAAAGTTGTTCTAATGGTTCCGGTCTGTTGCATATATTTGGTCTATGGTATCATCTGAAGGTCCAATACCAAAGTTGTACAAATTTTGTTCCTAGAATTAAAATCGGCCCCGCCCTGGGGGGTCATAGGTTTTTTTTGTAAAACCTAAAAAAAATCTACTTCTCTGAATTTGTAAAGGCTACAGGTTAGATAGTTTGCTTTTGCTGAAAGTTTGTACCCCCCTGTAAAATTGCTTATTTTCACCGAGCATGCTGTTTAAAAGCAATGTTTACAAACAATGACGACCTTGACATCAATAATTATCAGCATGTGATTTCTCACCATGTTTTCGAATTTGCCAATGATCATATTACATGTCACAAACACAAAGCAAAAAATCTACAAGGCCAAGCACCTATTTCTTTGTGATATTTTGCATGCATAGGGAGTTGCTAAAGCAGTGACAGAGTTTCTGTAGACTGTATATTTGCAGGTATTTTTTGCCAGAGGGACGAAAAATGTTGTTTTGGGTCTCGGACCACTATTGATTTTTGGCTTTTACGGAATGAATTGGATTTTTTTAACTGTCTGACTGTTGCACATGGGATGATTTCATTACAGATTTGCAATGTTATGACATATATGTTCTTAACAAAATGTGTTTTCTTTTTCCAGGTTGTGTAGTTTGGGATCAGATTTATCAGACATATTGCTTGTAGGACATTGACGGCAGAAACTTGAAATTTAGTGTGGAGTGCTACCTGAATACAATGCACGACTGGTGCAAGCGTTGGAGAGTCTTGTTTAACTGTGAAAAATCCAAGATAATACACTTCCGGAAAGGACGAACGAACCGCAGTGATTATCAATTAAAAGTCGGAGCTAATTATCTTGAAACAGTCGACAAATACCTTGGTGTTATTTTCCATGAAAAACAACGACTTTAACTACAATTGTGAACACTTTCAAAAAAGCGCAGGATGGCTCTTGGCAGCCTTATTTCTCAAAAGGGACATGGGCTAAATACATTGTGGATTTAAACATTTGAAAAATTAATAATTACTCATGTGTTGTTCCTTTTTGGATTACTGTGCTTCCGTTTGGGTTTTCAAACATTTTCAAGCGGCGGAAAATGTACAACATCGTGCGATTCGTTACTTCTTTAGGCGTTCACAGATTTTAACACCTAAATTAGCACTGTTTGGGAGAAACAGGTTGGATACCGTGCGCCTATAGAAGATGGATTTGTATTGTCCGATATTGGAATAGACTGGTTAAATTAAGTGATGATAGGATTACTAAACGAGTGTTTAATATGGATACGATAAATCAAGCGCAACAATAACTGGTGCAGTGAAGTGAAAACCATTATGTCTAAGTTACACCTTATCCAACCACTTTGACAATAAATTAACAGTGAATATGGATTATATTAAAGTGAAAATTTTCGAGTATTATGCAAATATATGGACAATCGACTATGAAAAGGTCCCTAAATTACGGACTTACAAAACATTTAAGACTCAATTTTCAGGTGAAAGCTATTTGTCACTAAATCTTAAAAGAAATGAACGCTCAATCTATGCACAATTTCGGTGTGTATTCTGCCCTTGCGTGTAGAAACCGGAAGATATGTAGGAGAAGCGCCAAATCAAAGACAATGTACTTTGTGTCAATCAGGATTAATTGAAAGATGAAACTCATTTCTTAATTGTGTGCCCGGTATATAATGATATAAGATCAATGACATTTAATGACACTATTATAAATGATGTATATAACAACATGACAAACACGGAAAAAATTAGTATTTCTCATTAAATCACCAGAAACAAAATAATAAAATTCATGTTAAAGCATATGTGTTAAGGAGAAATTTTTGTATAATAGGTAATTGACTTTTAACGAGCCAATAGTGACAACATGATGATATATTGACTGTCCATTTTTTGAAATGTGATACTGTAATTTACAGATCGAGCAGCAACTTTGATCTCATTTAAATGTTCCATTTAAAAGATATGTACTGTTCACAGTTTGTATATTTGTATATATATAATAAGGTGACTTATAGGTTCAATGGGCCGGGTGTCTTTGTATGTATTCTTATAATGTATGTGAAATGATAAATGCACAATGTCACTATAATAAACAACTTACTTACTTACTTTACTTTACTTTACTTTACTTTACTTTTTACTTTACTTTTTACTTTACTTTACTTTACACTTTACTTTACTTTTTACTTTACACTTTACTTTACTTTACTTTACTTTACTTTACTTTACTTACATACTTACTTACTTACCTTATACAATAGGTTAATATTTTGGCGGGTAGAAAAAGTGGTCACTTGGGTCAAGGTCACTGACTGATAAAAATAAATGTTCACACTTTATTTATAAACCTTTATTCGATTTCGAAGCGGCCGAGTCTTATATGTTTTCAAAGCGGCCTTCAGTTTTTATTTTCTGTTGGAAAAACAATTATGCGTTGTTTCTAATGAAGTATTTCAGTAATTTTATCTTTGAAAAATGCATCATATCACTCGAACAAAACAATGTCTAGAGTCAGTGATGATCGTTTCTAAAAATAGAAGATAGGGAAACGAATATTCTGCTTTACTGATTTAAACATAGAGAGTGAACCGGTACATTAAAGGTGTCGAGGGGTTTCCTTATTGTTTATGTATTTCATGGTCGACCAATTTCATTTTCAATCTTAATTATTTTGATTTGACAATTACATTTAACGATTCATTTAAAAATAACATATTTAACATTCTGGAAAAGCTGAAGGCCCCTTAAGCTAAAAAAAAAGCGTAATGACACGAATTATTTTGCAAGTCGTCAGTATAAGTACAAGTACATAAAAACATTCGCATATATCAGCTTACACTTCAGGACCAATTTTAAATTTGCTTAATTGAAAAAACATTTTATATACATTTTCTTCAAATAGAAAGGCGATGTTTTCTAATCTCCGTATAATGGACTGTAAATGACCGCATCTCTTGTTAAAATTTAATTATGGGTAAGGTAGAACACCGGACAAAATGCAAGCCACAGTTTCGAATGGCCAGGGACAAGCTCTTGGATATAGTCACTATTCTGGAATAAAATGATTGGTTATCTATTAAGTGCGTTTCAGCCTGAATTTTTTTTGTGGCATGTGATATGATAAATTAGATAACGGGTCTGATGCCTTTAATGTCTTATATACTGTGTTTATGCTCAAATTTAAATGTTTTCTTGTTGATCATTTACTTATGAAAGGTTAATATAGCGTTTAATCGGGGTATAATTAAGTAATGTCTGTCAGAATAATCATAAAGTTTATATGTAGATATGTATCTTACAACGAGTTAATATTTCCCTACAGTGATATATTGTTGTAGATGAAACAACGAGTTAATATTTCTTTACAGTGATACATTGTTGTAAATAGAGTGTAAATATCATGTTTAATGTATACATGTTTAAAAGCTAGCAAATATGCAGCGTTTCTGAGAGAAGATTTTACAATCAGTTTAGAAGAGACACGCTGATAGTGTGTAGCGGTTATTTTTTTGTTGAGAAGAGAATTTTGTTGTTTTGTTGGTTTGTTGAAAGTTGGTTGAATATAATTGTGGTGATCTTAATTTGAATCAGAGGTTTTCGGTTTGGTTGTAATTAGTTGCTTTGGTTGTTGAGTTATATCTGTATGCTGAAAGATATATTGGTTGATATTGGTTGAATGTTTGTCTGGTCAAGATTATATTAGTTGATGCTTTGTTTTGAGGATATATGTAAATATTGGGTGCTTTAGTTTTGCTTTTCTGATGCTGAATAGATTTGTGTGAAGTTAATATTGTTGAATGAATGTTTGTGGTTTATACTGCATATTAGAGTTGTAATAATAGTCATTTTTGTGTTCTTCATTTTGTGGTGATTTTATAGTTTTGTTTGATCATAAGTTGTTTAGAGCTTGGGCTCGCCAGGTGTATACGTGGCTTATACGTGAAATACGTGACTTATACGTGAAAAGATATTACGTATAAGTGGTTGATAAATGATGTGTGTTTGCTTTGGGTGTAAATAATGATCAAAGTTCTTTGTTTTGGGTGTAAATAATAATCAGAGTTTGTTGTTTAAATGTATATATTGATATGAGATAGAAAAAGATAAAAATACCTAAAAAAATAGTGTTAACTAAACAATTACGTGCTAGTTTTCCAACTGAGAATATTTCACTTTTATGTCAGGCGGTGCTGCCCAGCTCCCATATCTTGGAAATTGCTTCTAGTATTTATTACTAAATCTTTCCTTAGATTTAATAACATCAAGGCAGACATTTCTCCTGACAATGTCTAAGGCATTAGGATAATACATTATGAGAGTGTCAGCAATGTCTATATATGAATTGGAGATTCCGTGCTCAATACGACCATGAATAAAGCGTACCCGTCCTGTCAGTCACACTGCTTGTACGGACGTAATGGAATTTTCGTGATTGTCGCAATATTTCTTGTTTCAAATATTTCATCTCTCGTTAAGGAATATACAGTATATTCAAAGACATACTCTACATGTATAGCATAACTCACATTATTATAACAACATAAAATTCAACGCTATACTCGTATTTAAAGTCACTTTTGTATTGTTGATTATGAGCAAAAGGATCCGAAGATCTCGAAACTTGTATACATAAATTATGCTAGTATATGAAGGTTAAATGAACATAATAATATTTTTTTGAAAATATATAGTATTCATTTAAGAGAAAGTATACCTCTGCAAACTGCAATATTTATATAAAATTCAATTCAAATTCAAACACTACATTTAATAAATTTAAAGTCACTTTCGTATATTGTTCATTTTAGCAAAAGGAAGATCTCTGAACATTTATATAGAAATTATGCAACTCAGTGGAGATTAAATAAACATAATGATTTTTTGTTAGAATATTTATTCATGCAAATATACTTTTAAAAAATGCAATTTTAGTATTAATTTCAATTTTTACACTATATTTAATATTTTATAAGTCAGTTTCTTATTTTTCAATGTTAGCGAAAGGAAGATTTCGTATAAAGAGTGCATGTATGTGCAAATAAATGGCGAATAAATCATTAAAGTGATTTTTTGTTGACAAAAAAGTGATTTTTTTAAATAATATACATCTACAGACATCAATATTAATATCAATTTCAACTTAAACGCTATATTTTATTTTTTTAAGTCACTTTCGCAGAAAAAGTCACTTACGTATTTTAGTCATATCCGATTTAAAACTCCGTTGATAACGAAATGTTTTATTTTACTAAATCCCAAATAAAACTGAAACAAAATATTTCAACTCACTGCTTAACTCGTAATGTAATTTCCAAATTCGTCAAATGTAGATTTTTGATGTACGTGATTACGTTAGAATAGGTCCGCTGCACATTATTGGCATGTACACACCTCTAAATATCAAGCGTTCATTTGTTGTTGAAAATATTCATTTGAGGTCATATTTAAATTATGCATTTTCAGAAAATTATATTAATTGTCTATGGTGTCACGTTAGGGCCATCGTGACATACATAACTGGAAACAACGAAAATACGGTGGTGAAAAGTCGAAATAACGAAACCGCGATGATGAAAAGTCGAAATAACGATGGTGAAAACTCGATTTATTTTCGTGTTTTCACCATCGAACTCTCGACATTTCACCATCGTGGTTTCGTTATTTAGAATTTTCACTATCGTACTTTCGACTTTTCATCATCGCGGTTTCGTACCTACGACTTTTTAAAATCAAGGTTTCGTTATTACGGCTTTTCATCATCATATTTTCGTGGTTTCGTTTATTCGAGTTATGTGTGCGATGGCCCACACGAGCCACTGTAATTGTCTAACCCAACCTAAAAGTGTTTGACCTACATAAATATTTTCCGAAAGTGCTTTGTTGATGTCAATACATGACGCATTTATCCCATGAGGGGAACAGTTATCGTAGTTAATCAAAGCGCTGAAAGCACTAGATGTGACGGACAAGAATCGGGAATGTGTAAATGCTGTAAACAGAAAAGATCAATGTCAGAGTTAAGTTGTTTTTTTTAAAATAACCTCTAAATACGAGGACATAGTCACGAGGAAATCATTTTTGAAAATTTATGTTACACAAATAAAATTCTAAATTCTACTCTCCTGCGCATCGGTCGAATGTTCCACTATCGCTCACTTCTTACCTCTGCTAAAATTGTAGGTTCAGACCATTATTTCTATTTTTAGACAGGAAAATCCGTGTCTACACTTCAGCCAATCAGTGAATAGCTTACTTGTAACGAATTGTCACATGCCTGAATTTGACGCACCGTAATGTAAACAATGCGTGTTCATTTGTACTTTACTTAAAATTGTTTGTATTAAACGTTTCTATTAAATGACCCAATAAAGCTACCAAAATGGTAAATTTGCGATAATATATTATTTACGGATCGTCAATTGTAATGGAGTCTACGTAAAGGGTAGCTCAATACGAATACTCGCTGCAAGAAAGTTCACGTCAGGCCGTTAAAATTATTTTTCTTATATTTTCTCACAGACACTTGGAGTGTAGAGCTCGAAGTTAAAATCCTTTAAAATCCAAATAAAATGTATATATGTAAATCCCAGCACATGTACTGATCATAAATATCAAATAAAACTTATTAAAGGCCGTTTTTTTTTTTAAATAAAAAAAACACATTTCAACGTCAATATATAATAATCATACATACAAATTCAGTATCATCTAACTTTAATGATGGTCATTTAAGAAAATCCAAGATAATATTTGACGTACTTTCTTAGCCTGTGTTTTTTCATGGATGGGCAGGTTTTGTAGGTGATATACATTTATGTGCAAAATGATATACATACTACATACATATATCTGCAGACTCAACCAACACTATTTTACACATCAATAGTAAATCTGCATTGGTTACTCATTTGAAATTCAGGTATTCTACTTAATAATATTGTAGTCAATCAGGAGCCACAAGCTTGTCCATTAATATCAACAAGGGCTGTCAAATAGAACGGTTGTTCTATTCAACTATACTCAGCACTTGATGTTTGAATTTACTAAGGAATATTCTATTTATTTACATATGATCAAGTCTTGCATTTTTTAATGTTCGCATGAGGCCATATTTCATTTAAAATTCACAAGTTATGAGCCTTTGACAGAGACGTCCAAAGTATACTATTATTAAGTTTCAAGATTAATTTTGCAGGCAAAACTTTCACCTGTATTAAATCAGAAGTTCAGAGGGTCATACTTCTGTCAAAATCCATGCTAGAGTGTGTGCAAAGTCTTTTACACATAAAAGAATCCAATGTTCCCTTGCGGATTTCAAACCAAGGTGAAGTGCTAGCCATTAGTGCACGAAAACATTAAATGTGACACTGATGAAGAATTCCAGGTGTAAAGGATAGCCCCATTTTTCTTCAAATAGTTAGGTTAAAAAAACAATAACTGCACTGTAGATCATCAATGAAATTTATTTTACACCTTTAAGTCTTCATTTTTCAAAACAATTATGCAAATATGAAATTACAAATGCAATATTTTATATTGATTTAACATACAACCTAAATAAATAATGAATAAAGGGTGATCACATAAACATAACAAAAAAAGAGTTCATAAAGTTGGCTGTAAGGTCACTCACAATCACAGGGATAAATTGACAAATATCTTTTCCTATGAAATTAACATCCTAAGTCAATAGTAACAATAGAAAAACAAGATCAAACTTGACCAGAACACTAAATATATTTATATGTTGGGATAATCTAGTTATTGAGTAGGCAATATACATTTAAGCTAGTTTGGATATTTCAGGTTTTAAAGTACAATTTATGCCTTCAGTACTGGTTTAATACTTAACTTTCTGAGTCAGACACCCAGTCATATTGTTACTAAGTTCAGTGAAATTATGATACCCATTCACATTGTTACATTGTAAAATGTCTACTAAATATGCATTAAATCAAAGCAAGAGCCTACATATTATTATTTTATTTTTGGTAAATCAATGGTTATAATTTAATAAATTTCATTCAAAATTGTTTTTAATTAAACTACAATGGTCAGCATTATTTAGAATATAATCAGAAGTAACTTAAGACACTAAAGGTATATCAATTCCATCTACACAAGTAACAAGTACACAAGTTTACCAAAAAATACAAACTTTCCAAAGTAGACACCGTGAGTAATATCTCAGCTGATAGTGAGAAGACAGACTACTTTGAAGCTCTTGAGGATATTGACATTCCATCATTACATACCCCACCCATTACCCCACCCAACATCAACTATTCTGAAAATATGAAATTCAGCCAAGAGGATATCAATGAACTGAGTGCTAAATTAGCCCCTATTTTGATAAAAGACCTTAAATCAGCACTGAAAGAAGAGGTCCTGAAGGAAATTAGACACGAAATTTGTGAAATAGTACACAAAGAGACACAAGAATTTCGAGATGAAATTTCCAAACTGAAAGCTGAAATTAATTATTTACAATCAGAGGTCAAATCTGCACATGCAAAACATGACGATCTAGAACAGTACGGACGAAGGATGTGTTTAGATATCTCTGGAATTCCAGGTGATAGTGGCAAACCGGACGAGAATGTTGAGAAGAAGCTTTTAGACCAAGCAAAGAAGGTTGGCCTGGCCCTAAACGAATCTGATATTGACAAATGTCATCGTAAGGGAAAGCCTGTAGATAATTTCAACCGCAAGGTTATTGTGAAGTTTACAAATTCTAAGGCTCGACAGAGTGTTTATAGCGCGAGGAAGAGATTAGGCGATGGTATTTTTGTTCAGGAAAATTTGACTCCATATCGAGAGTACCTAGGTTATGAGGCAAGAAAACTTAAACGGGCTGGCCTTGTTACAAAGACATGGGTGGCCGGATGTAAGATATACGCTCAAGTAACCGGGGAAAAAACGGGCAGACAGATTATGAACATGGATGACATCAATGCAATTAGTGATAAGTAACCGATCTTGACAACTGTCAAAAAATGTAAACAATCTTTAATGCACTAGATAGTGACCTTTGTTGACATAAAGGCTCATTTATTCATGATCACTCAGCCGTATTACAACCAGGTAGTAAGAATGACCTGCATAGTAAATAAGACTTACCTGTAAGATTTTCTATGAGCAGACGATTTATCCCGATATATCCTTATTATATTGTCTAACTGTTTATAATATTCTGCACATTAATTCCAATCCATATATTCATTTGCACATTTGCTATTAGTCTAAATAATTATTCAGTAGCATTATGAATGTACCTAATTTCTCAATTAATTCATAAAAAGATTATTTCATTTCATGAACGAGTACATGTTTTTGGTAACACACATGTTCAGTACCCATGAAGCGCGCGATTAGAAACATAAAGAGAAATAACTCGTTCATCTTTCACACAGAAAACTGGTTATTATGTCATTGTAAATTTACATCATGTATTTTTCACCATGTCAGATTATAAATGTAATTAAATTATGCTCTGTTTTTCATTTAAGTTTTACTGATAAATTAATACTTCAGTTTTAAAATTTGCGAACAAATGTAATTAATAACCAGTGGTGTATTACAGTCTATGAAAACGATTGATTTCATGTTGTTTATAAAAGATAAGTATTACAAGGTTGTTTTTTGTTGTTTTTTTTTAGGGCCGTATGTAGATTTTTGTCAAATAAATGTCAGTCTGGACCTTTTGATTGTTTGTTTGTTTAATTTGTATTGTATGCTTGGTGTTTCCTTGTTGTTATTGTTTGTAAAATTTTCTTTCTTTACTGATGCATAAAGTATTCTGATTTGTAGCTAGTTTGTAAATTTCTTTGTGCTATAGACTTCGTGTAAGTTGATCAAGTTTCTTGTGTACTCTTATTTTTTCTATCTTTTTATTAGTAAAAATTTTAACTTTGAATATTGAAAATTAAAATAGATTTTGAATGTTGGTATTTTGTCACCATAAAATCTCTGACTTTAGTAACAAAAAACGATATCGTTTCTGTCAATTCAAATTTATTGTAAGTACATGTAGTGTATAAACGCACACACACACCAACACACACACACACACACGTGCACACACACGTACACGCACACATGCACACGCGCATTCTATGACAAAATTTGCAAAATGTGAACAAAATAATCAATTAGTTGTACTTTAATGTATTATTTGGTCTGGTTTGGTATCTTGTCCATTACATATATGTACTGTCTTTTGTACCATAATTAAGTTATTTTATTCTACTTTATCATCATACTTGAGGAACTAGTTTATTCCTATCTCATTATGTTTAGTATTTACATTTCTGTTATTTTATTTATGCTAACCACTGTCTCTCTGAATATA